TTTAATTTTTGTTTATATCGTAATTCATTCCACAATTGACGTTTTTGTTGTTGATCAAAATATTCATTACGTTCAATATGTAGTAGATCTTCATCTATATCATCTGCTGATTCATGTGTTTTTACTTCACCAACTGGAAATAGAGTTTTACCACTACCTTCTTTTTCTTCTTCAATTGTAGTACGATCCATTTGGCTTATTTCTTGTGAATGTGATAATAAATAACGTTTATACCAAATATCACTAATAACTTTTAAATCACGTAGAAACTTCATATCAGTATGATCCAAATCAACTGAATAAAAATAGTCAAAAGAAGATAATTTTGTTAGTAACAATAAAAATTATTATTGAAACTCACATTCTAATTTGAGTGCTTTTAGAGTATTAAATGTGGTAATCGGATGCAATTTTTGATAATTTTTAATTGCTGGTAATAATTCTGTTAAACGTTTTAAACGATCTAATTTTAATACATTATTTAGCAAACGTGCTAAATCAATATTATTAACACACTTTGATTTTTGTAAATTATTTTGAACCGTTTGTTTTTTAACTAAATGTTCAACTTGATTTTTCGATAATGATAAAAATGTTTTAACCTAAATATTAAAATTAGTTTTCACTCATTCGAAGTAAAGGCATTTGAAAAATTAATCATTTTTAAACTTGCTGGTTTTTAATAGCTTAAGAACAAGTAAACTCTTGCTGTCAGTTAATAAATTGTGTTTTAGATCTGTAACTACTATGCATTTTAATATAGAATAAACTAGTTAATCTATTTTGAATTACTTTCGATAGATAGATGAGGGACGCCTTCGGACTACGCCGTTCATTGGATCTTTGGAGAATCCGTTGAGATTCCAAAATTCCAAAATCAAATCGATATAAAGCAGCTCAAAGTATATTCTGAAGTGTTTTGAACCGATTTGATTGAGTGACGACCGTCTTTTAGTTTAAAATAGAGTAGGTTTGCATTAGATTTTTAAATTTCTCAATAAAGTTAAATATTGTCACAAGACTCAGTGTGATCGGTAACCTATGTTCCATTTGTATTTGAGATTCCTACGTAACATATTAATCAGTCGTGAAGCTCCTAGAAAAGTTTATATGAAAAACAAATATATCAGGTGGCCCAGTGAAAATGTGTCACTTTTTATTTTCGATTTTTCTTAGCCATGTTTCATCTATTTGAGTTCATTCATATACTACAAGATACGTCTTGAAATTCTCTACAAAAACCGTATTGAGCGGAAAAATAATTTTTTGAAAAGTAATTATTTTCGCATATGAGTTTCGCACCATAGCGTAAAATAGGCATACTCCATACAAAATCAAACTTTTTGGGTTCGAGTTTTTTCTTGTTTTATAGTGAAATAAGATGTCTTTTATATGATGTACAACAACTCCCTTTCTTTCAATACGCTGAGTGAAAAGACGAAATTTTCTTTGCTATCCAGTGAATTTCAATAAGGTTACCCGTTGTATCATAACACTAACGAGGGAACCTTTCCAGGTGTCCAACCGATTTTCTAACGAAATGCGTTAGTTTATAGGTAATCGACCATGCTGATTCCGAATATGATAGCCGTTTTTGCCCATAGACCTTTCCTAACCGGTTTCTGGAAAACTGGTTTTCCAGAAACCTCCAAAAACCCTCAAGAGTTTTTCTAAATAAGTCACAACTGTAGCTCGCGAGATTTTGATTAAAATGAGACATCTTCCAGCTCTACACAACCTTTCTTTGCAAAGTTATAGAATTGACAAGAAAAGCCCTAAATGTTTGTTGTCATCTCAGAGCTACAGAAAGAAGAAGGAAAGATGACTTCAGGGCTTTTCTTGTCAATT